GAACTGGCCCTTGTTGTCAGGGAGTGAAAATACAACAGGATGGAACCACAAGAAGAAATAAAATATATTAGTTTAATCTACAAGATGTCATGAAGATGAGTCAAAGTTTAAAACTAAGCAAACGAACATCTAAACTCAAAAGAATGTTTGAATATGCACAAAGTTCATGAACATGCATGTACCCCTGTGATGTAAGAGTAAATAGAGAACAGGGTTTAAGTTAAGGTGTACTTTTGCAAAGAGCCAAGCACCCCAGCGCTGGATTTTACCCCTTTTACCCCTTAATAAACATCTATAAAAATTTCCAATAGTGAGCTGTGTTTGTCACAGGAAGGACAGAGGAAACTTTTCCAGGCCTGAGCAGGACTGGGAGCTGGGACAGGAGATTTGGGCAGGAGCCTCGCCTCGCCTGACTCTGGGACAAACTTGGGAATTTCCTCATGTGGCCAGCACGTTTCTCTCCCTCTCAGGATTTTTCATAGAGCAGCACAGAGGAAAGAAAGAGAAAACAATTTCTATTCCTGCTCCTTGATTTTTCGTATGTGGAATGTGTTTGGAGAATTGTTTACCTGGGGTGAGTGCTGGGTTGGATTCTGGTGAGGATTGTTTGAGCTGGTGGCCAATCCAACCCACCTGGGGCTGGGCTCACAGAGAGGGTCACGAGTTGTGTTAGAGAAAGTAGTGTGTAGTTTTAGTCTCTTCCTTTTAATATAGTATATTAATGTATTTTAGCCATAGTTATAATAAAGAAATCATTCAGCTGTCTGAATTGAGTCAGACATCAGCATTTCTTCCCACTGGGTTCGCCTGCGTTTACAATACCCTCGAGCTCTGCTGCCCACCTGTGAAGGTGGCGCAGACCCGGAGCTTTGTGTCCCCACCCCGCCTCTCGTCCCTTCCGCAGACCAGCGGCCGCCCAAACCCCTCCGAAATGGGCAGAAAGGGTTCGGCAGGGAAATTTCATGAGTCCCTGCCAAACCCTGACATTTCACCCCAAATCCCCCCCACAAATTCCCCAGTCACCCTCAATTCTCTGCCAACCCCACCCAAACCCCCTCTAAATTTCTCAAATCCCCCCAAATCCCCCCAAATTCCCCCACACCCCCTCAAGTCCCCTCTAAACCTCCCCATGCCCCCAAATCCCAATAACCCTCTCAGTTTCCCCAACCTCTCCAATCCTCCCCAAATCCCCCTAAACCCCCTCAGCCCCCCCAAAAGTTCACAAATCTTCCCAAACTTCCACAAATGCTCCCCAACCCCCCTCAAATCTCCATGACCCCCCCAATCCTCCCCAAATCTCCCCCAAATTCCCCCCCATGGATTTTATAGTTCTTTACTTTTTATTTAAGCATAGATATTTATTTGCATTTTTATATTTATGTATCTTAATTTAATATAATAAATAAATCTATCAAAATGCATTATTATATTATCTTAGGGTGACTTTATGATGCTTGTATCCCCAGCCTGTTCTGTTAACGCTGGATATGAAGTTTAACCTTTAAGCCTGGTTCCGAGAGCAAAGGGTGGAGAACCAGTTAGAGGAGGGGCAGCTTCAATTTATTTTCTAAAGAAAACCACTTCAAAAGTTTCCTCCCAAATTTGCCCTAAACCAGGACATATATTTACATTTATTTATATGTATTTTATTTCAGATGTTTATATTTATCTATATTTAGATAATATTATATCATATAATATGTATTATATCTATTATATCTATTATATCCATTATATTACATATATCTATATTTTTATTTGGTGTATTTAGATATTTATATTAATATTTTAATTTTATTTCTTTAGAAAATATTAAGTAATACATAGTCTATTATTTATATTTATATTTATATTTATATTTATATTTATAGGTATATTTATATTTATATTATTTATATTTATAGGTATATTTATAATTATAGTTATAGTTATAGTTATAGTTATAGTTAGTTATAGTTATAGTTATAGTTATAGTTATAGTTATAGTTATAGTTGTAGTTATAGTTATAGTTATAGTTATTTTTATTTTATTTAATTTTATATTATTTATTTATATTTATATTTTATTTTTATTTTTATTTTTATTTTTATTTTTATTTTTATTTTTATTTTTATTTTTATTTCTATTTCTATTTCTATTTTTATTTCTATTTCTATTTCTATTTCTATTTCTATTTCTATTTCTATTTCTATTTCTATTTCTATTTCTATTTTTATTTTTAAATTTCATTTATTATTGGCATGCTTGTATTTATTTGCCATATTGGATTTATTCCCAATGGCTGCTCCACCCTCCAGCCCAACTTTCCTTGAGGAGCAGCTCACACAGGGCTGGGAATTTTCCCTGTTTTGGGGACAGGGCACAGGGCCTGGTCCCAGCCTCTCCTGGTGGGAGATGCTCTGAAGACGTCTCCAAGGAGGAATTGCAGCTGGAATTGCTGCCAGGAAGGAGTCACGGACAAAGCAGCACGAAACACCCCGGATCCATGTCCAGCCAAGGCTGCGTCCCCTTGAGCAGAGCAGCCTGCCGAAACCTGGAGTGCCACGGGGACACGGGGGTGGCACCGCCAGGCCTCGGTGGCCTCCAGGCCCCGGAGCGCCCTGGGCCCAGCTCTTCCCGCTTTTGTCAGCCGTAAGAAGACTTCCGATCCCTGGAGATGCTCCCCACCCTGAGGAACATCAGCCAGGTCACTCAGGTCAAGGGGCCTCCGCAGCCTGGACTTCCCTCTCTCTCTGTGACTCCCTTGGACTGGCCTCTTGTTGTCATCGACGTGGAAGATTGCTTTTTCAACTTCCACTGCATCCAGGGGATGCTCCTGGATTTCCCTTCTTGGTTCCACCCATCAGTAGAGGAGAACCACTGCAAAGGTTTCACCACGAGGTTTTACCACTGGACAGCTTTGCCACAAGGGATGAAAAACTTGCCTGCTATTTGTCACTTTTTTGTGGCAAAAGCTTTGTCTCCAGCCCGACAAAACACCCATAATTTTACACTACACGGATGACTTGCTCGTTGCAGCACCAATTCGACAAGAAATGGAACAGACTTGTGTCTGTCTGTGTTTGTTTTTCCACAGCCGGAGCTCAGTTTGGGTCTGGAATGCTCGGGCACACAAGGAGAGCTCTGTGTGCCCTGAGGGGACAGGGGCCAGAGCAGAGGGCAGGGGCAGGCTCAGATCATAAACCCGCTTTCAGATCTGCAGGAAATCATCCTCCTGCATCTCCTTCCACAAACTGCCTTGGAGGGGAAGCAGCCCCTAGAGAAAATGCATTTCATGTGGCGGAGGCAAAGCCAAGCCTATTATAAATGAAAGATGCTCAAAATTATCTATTTTTAAAAATAAACCTTATTTTTAACCCTATTTATTGGGGGTGGAGGCAGCCCCTAAAGAAAACACATTTCATGTGGGGAAGGCAAAGCCAAGCCTGTGTTTGCATCTGGTTTGTAAAGGAGAGATGCTCAAAATGATCTATTTGTAAAAATAAACCTGATTTTTAAGCCTATTTCGCGTGAGTGGATGCAGCTCCAGGGGTGCTGGTGGATGTGGTGCCCTCAGTCCTCACCTGCAGTTTTGTGATTTCCCCTCTGGTGAAAAGATTTCACCTTCCTGCTCTACCAAGGATCCATCAAAGAATGTTTGCAGCTGGATTTATTTATGAAACACTCAGGTGAAATCTCTGCATTTAATTCCATAAAAACAGCCAAGAAGCCCCTCTGCTGCATCACTGCAGGGATGCTGTGCTGGAACACTGCTAGAGGCACCAAGCAGCAAATTCAGGGAGGGTTTTTGGGATGTGAAACCCACAAGAGCTCATGGGAATGTTTGCCCAATTCTCATTTTATTTACCTGCATTTCCCTCCTGGAGAGCTGTCCCCTGCTGGGACACATCAAGCCTTTGTCAGAAGGCCCAAAACTCAGAACAATCCACTCCACAGGGGTCTAAAGAGGGAATTTCTGTCCCATGGGGTGGGGGAAGAGGAAAAGAAAATTAAAAATGGGATTTTTTATGAGAATGGTAAAAAATCTCAGTCAAAGAGCACATTTTGGTTAGTTCAGGAGGAGGAACACCCCGATGTCCTGCACAGTGACAAAGCCACCACGCTCAGATCCCACTGGTTTCATTCCCAGCAGATGAGGCCACAAATCACATCCCCAGGAGCTGGGACCAGAGCTGCAGATCCCTCAGCCAACACTGATGCATTAGGATTTTAGCTGTTATATTTTTCATCTATTTGTAATCCTGCAGTTCTGCAGTGTATAACTCCAAACTCCACGTGCAGTGTGAGCTGCTGCTTCCCCATTTTGGGCAGACACAACAATTCCTCTCCAGGCCTGGCAATCAAGGACACATCACTGCCTCAGGGCCTGAGAGATGGAAACAAAAGTGAGTTTGGGGGGAGCAAATTTGGAGTGAATAACTTCATTACCTGAAACTGTAATTGGAAGATTAACCCCCAATATGCAAATGGCCCAAACCTGTGACCCATGGTCCATTTTTGGGTGTAGCCCCTGGGGAGCTTCATCTGCCCTAAATGTACCTGGAGGCCCTTCAATAAATATGACTGCTTTTTATTCCCTTAAGTCTGTCTGGCCTGTGGTTTTAGGTAGCTCCAAAAAGGCATTGACACCCTCTGCCCTCCTCCTCCTCCTCACAGAGCCCAAGGCTGCTCCAGCAGCACTTCCAGGGAATGATGCCTTTGCTGGTAGGGAACAGCTCCAAAGGGAGGAACTTGGAGGCTTCATTGCAAAAACAGCAGGGTGAGTTTGAGGTGAAATTCCTGGCCTCTGTTTTGTTCCTGAGGATTTCTGCAGGACAAAGCCCCGTGCTGCTCCTGATGGTCCTCTCCCGACACCCCGTGCTGGACACAGCACTGGGGCCCTGATTTCCCAGCTGGATGTGCTCAGAAAGCCCCCCAGTTTTGCTTTCTTTGTGATTGAGAAACCCAAAGGCCTCATGTGACTTTGTAGATGACTTCACACATTCAGAGAGCAGGAAGGAAGCCGAGCTGCTCTCACTTCTCTTTCTGTGGGGTGGCTGCAAATCCAACCTCATTAACTCAGGAGTGCTCAGAGGGACCCGAAAATGACTGCCCAAACCCCACCCGAGCCCCCCAGATGCTGTTGCTTCAACATCAAGACAGCGACAGTGGCCCTGGGCATCTTCCACATGGTGAGTCCTACAAGGGGGCAGGAACAGGGAGACAGGAAAAGAGGTGGGACCTCTCCAGGAGGTGCATTGTTGTGGGTTTGGTCACAGGGTTCCCTGCCACTGGAATGTTCTCTGTTCCCAGGAGGAAAACCCAGTGAGTTAAGAGGGATGAACAAAAGGTGGTGGGGGACAGGGAGAAGTGAAATTCACTGCACTGTGGGGGTTTGAATGATTTTTTCCGGGCTCTGCCAATTGGAGCCCAGGGAAACTCGCTCTGCTTCCTGATTTTCTGCTCAGTGCAGGGCTCCTACCTGAGAGAATCCAGAGCCTGCCGGGTGGGAAAGGGCAGCACTGGCAGTGGGAGTGTGGGAATGGGGCACTGGAGGGATTTGGGGGCTGGATGAGCAGAGGGTGATGGGCAGAGCTGCCTCCTCTGGGTCTCTTTTGGTTTCCATTGGGATCATGGCTGTGTCTAGAAGCTGCTCAGGGCAGGGATGGCAGAGCAGGAGAGCCTGGAGACCCCTCTCTCCCACGCTCCTGGCTGCACTGAGGGGCTTTAGGTGCTTTCAGCCACCCTGAGGATGTGGTTGCTTGCATGGCTGCTTTATTAAAATAATCCCTGTGCTGCTCTGGGTGTGCACAGTCAGCATTTGGGAGCCCTTGGGGAGGTAACGGGGCTCTCACAGGTCCCTGGGACAGCAGAGCGGGAGCTGGGGACCTGCAGCCTGCAGAAATCCCATGGGAATGGCAGCTGTGGCACAGGACGGTCCCCCCTCTTCCCTGGAGCAGCAGGAACTGTACCATCCCTCTTGCCCTTGGAAACCGGGGTAATTTTTGGATAAGTCTTGTCTTAGTTTCAGAGCGATCACACAATACCAATCATTTTTCCCCCCTTCCTCTTCTCTCCCTTTCTGATGGTGCAGCTGCAGCTGGGCAGGGGGAGGGGAAGGGAAAAGGGGATTTATACCTTCACTAATTTGTTCCATCAGTGCTGGGGCTTTGGATCAGGATAAATTCCTGCTGCAGGTGCCAGGGATGAATCCCAGCCGTGCTGGGTGAGAGCAGTGCCACCAAGGAGCTCTCAGTCTCTGTGGCAAGGTCTTCCCCTCCCACAAATCAGCTCTGCCTCGCTGCTGATCTCTTCAGAGACAACTGGAATAAATCCTGGGCGTTCTGGAGCAGACGGGGAGGAGGGGGGCAGTGAGGAGGGGACAGGGATGTGTGATCAGCAAACTCCACTGGCTGTGAGGAGGTGACCTGCAGGTGACTTTCAAAGACAGCACTGGGGAGTTTGTGCTGCTCTTCAGGCCTCAAGGTGTTTGACAGAGAGATTTAAGATCAGGGCTGGAAACCTGTTCCAGTGCAGGAACAGAATTCCCTTCCTGCTGCTCCTTGATTGGAGCCAGAGGAGCCTTGGGAAGCCTTGTCTGGCCTCAGCTGCACTCCAGCTCCTCTCTTTGGCAGCTCTGTAACTCACAGAGCAGAAATTCCCCTCTGGAACCCTCCCAGGTCCTGTCCTCACCTCTGGACACAACTCAGGTGAGCTCAGAGTGGCATTCACTGAGCTCTCACCAGGCTGGGGATGACCCAGGGGTCCCACAGAGCCTGAGCTGCTTCTCCTGGAACAAATCGACCAAGGAGGCAGCAGGAGAAGATGAAATGTTGTGAAAGGAAACCAAATGAGAACTCAAAGCACTCCTCACTTCATCCCCGGCTGCCACAAGAGCCACTTGGAAACTCAAGAGAGAAAAGGAGAAGCTCTGACAGGGCAGTGGTTTTGGGCGGTGTTTTTTGTGCTGGTGTCCCCAGAACAGCCCAGCACCCAGAGCACCCTGTCCCTGTCCCCATCCCTGTCCCCATCCCTGTTCCCATCCCTGTCCCTGTCCCCATCCCTGTCCCTGTCCCTGTCCCTGTCCCTGTCTCTGTCCCTGTCCCTGTCCCCATCCCCATCCCTGTCCCTGTCCCTG